CGGCAGTGTTCAGTGAGAGCTTTAAGTTATTTTATGAATGGAAGATAAGGAGCGCTATCAGTAGCTCTGGAAAGGATCACGACACTCCTCTTCTCTCGCTGCTTAGCCGCTGCACTAACACACCAGTGTTCATGTAGGTGTGTGAAAGAACATTGTAAAAATGTGAGGGGACGACACAAATCTCTTGGAACTAGTTTGGAAATAGCAGCGGCTAAAAAAATAGCAGGGGCTCTCCTGTAAGTGTCCACTGACAGCGTTTTTTTAAATGCAAATCACTCTGTGCTACATTATCAGTGTATGCAAAGGGCTCTACAATAAAGTTGTGTTTATTTATTGTGTTTTTTGCGCTGATATGTTACAGAGGACATGTCAAACACTTCAGAGATAACAGGTCTGTGAGGACCTTTGAATTTGAATCCTGATTTTATTGACATGTTAATGTTGAACAGCCACAGATTTATAAGATAAGACCAAAATACACCATAAGTGAGTCCCTGTAGGTTATGTGCTGCTTGGGCTGTTTGTCTTGTTTTCTTGTTTTCTTTGATGAGAGAGCTCCTGATTACATTTAAGTGATAAATACTCAACTTCTCTTGAAAGTATATATACCCCCCTAACACAATTATCAGCCATTTGTAATCTCTCGTTGTGCCCGTCTCACCTCCAGCAAAGCTCCTGTTTGAAAGAACTTCAGGGGCTTCTCTATGGAGTAGTAAAGCCCATGGTAGCTTCCTCTGGCCAGGTAAGCTCTGACCAGACCCACAGCTATCACCAGCCACCTGAAAAAAACCACAAAAACCACAGAATCCTTTCAGCAGTAGTAAACAGCAGCAGCTTGTACTGGAAGATCATACAAGCAGAAAATGTAGAAGCGTCAGTCACTGTTTTCTTTGCCGTAGCTGTAATAAGCATCTACAAGCTGAAGACATTCAGAAATGAAGACTTATGTTAAACAATATTAATCTAATAGATCAACTAGGTCAAATGAAATTCATACTTCCAGGGAAAGATGTATTGTTTTTTAAGTATAAATATTAAAAACTAGCTGATAGGTGATATTAAAACAGGTAAATGCTTTGATGCATGGTAAGAGAAGTGATGAAAACAAACAAACAATCAAAGATTTTCTATAATCATGCAAACCAATCCATTACATCAATTAGACTCGCTCCTTCAACACATAAGTCAGAGCAAATGAAAGAAGGAGTAAATCTGAGATTTTTAGCTAGACCAGCCCTGGGCCCGAGTGAAAGATTTTATTCACTCGATGCTTTCACTGAATTAAAAATGTTGCTTGCATCCATTAGGAGTCAATCTAAGTCATCGGGATGAATATCAATATCTGAGCCTGTTGGGCAGAAACTGCCTGCTTAGCTGCTCTGAATGCAGCCTCTGCATTTGAGGGAAACTGTGGATTGTACGACACCCTAACGTTTGCTCAATACAAAGCAAGCACTGTATTCATGGCCCATCAAAACTGAGACTCACACACAATGTGACCTAACTGGTTGGAACAGGGAGCACACAACACCCACCATTCAATTGTGCAACAGTCTGAAGCCCAGTGCAATAAACACACACACACAGATTTTTCAGCAAGGCAACAGAGATATAAGACATGTGTGTCTGTTCTTTATTACACATCATTAAATTGTAACAATTTAGTGTTAAATCCACTGCACACACTGCAATTTATCATGCTGTATAGTAGAGTGTATAGTAAAGTAAATAGAAGAAAAAATGTACAATATGTTATTTTTTACTGCAAAATGGATTCAAAGCACAATCTAAATGTTAGCACAAAAGGCAACCACTATCATTTCCTTCGCACACTTATTTTATTTTACTAAAGTTTATTTAGCTACATTAATTTCATATAGCCTATTTTTTTTAGAAATATGTTTGATATTTTTTAAAAAAGCTGTATTTTTATTTCTTTAGGAAATTCTGACAGGGAGGCTCTTCAGGATAATTTTATGTCTATGTTTCTACGTAGTTGACATGACCCTCACTCTTTAACATTAAAGTAACACAGGGGATCTTAACTAAAGTTGCAACTGTCTTTGATTTCTTTTTTTTTTCATTAAAACATAAATTGACACTCAAAGTATCCTTAAAATTGAAGATAGAAAAAAAAAAAACAGGTCTGCAAGGTTGGATAGGTAAAACTTTTCACAACAACTAAAAGATATATTTATGATATTATTACAAATAAAAAAACCTGCATTAGGGCTGTTTTAGATTGACTTTAAAGACAATATAGTCTTCTTTTTATTTTTTAATTTTTTATCAATTACTTCGATTTTAGTCTTGACTTTTATTTGGTTACCATTACAGAGAATTTGTGAAAAGACAAACCATCTTTTTATCAGGCGTTGTTTTTTTTATTTTATTTAGATTTGTAATGTGATTTGTTTCCTTTTTTTTTTTTTTTTTACGTATAAGTAAAAAATCAAATTCAGTCGTTGGCCTGCAGAAATAACCAAATAAATATGAATAATAAATGACAATGCATTGAGAAAAGACGCCCTTTCTGCAGAAGAAGAAGATCATAGAGTGTAAATAGGTCTAGATGCGGACAATAAACCATCTGTCTTATTATTATTATGTCTGTATTGTATGCGACGTGGTGACCCGCCAGTCACAGTTCATGTGCACGCCGGGTGTCTGTCTGACGTTAATCTGCAGAAACAGTTGAACGTGGGGCACGCAGACTCAAATTTATGTCACTACACAGCATGCTTGCCCTGTTTCCAATTATAACTAAGTGCAATTTGCAGGTTAACAGCCCAAAAATAACACTACAACAGGGAGATCCTGCTCCCATTTCCAGTCCTCACACACTCCTACAAAGCAGCATTAGCACGAGGAGGGAACACGCTACATACCCCGCTGTCATAACAACGTTATAAATGACCAGGTAAGCCGTGGCCAGGGCACCGGGTCCCTTCTTCTTCTTCTGGACCACATCGCTGTGTCCCGTCTTGCTGGTCCCCGGAGCAGCTGCCGACATGACTGCAACCCCCAACGGTCTTTGGTCCTCGTCTGCACGGTCGGTGGCTGTCAGGTTCACCGAGTCAGGAAACGAACTGGGGCCAGACCCGGATGTCTAATCCTGTAAGCGAGAGGATTCACTCCACTTTACTCCCGGCTTCGCAATGAAATGCGCTCACTCGAATCACCAACATTAAAATTGATGCAACTTCCCTTAATAGTCGACTTTATCTTTTAAGGTTTGACGTTAATATGTTGTTCAGTACCGCTTATTCCACCCAAAGTATCCGCAAACGTTAAATGTACTCGAAGCGCATGAACGATCTTGAACCGAGTTTGTACTCTTTGTCAATTCTTCTGATTAAGACGCTTTGTGATAGCGCCCTCTATTGTTCGTTTAGACTACATGCCAAGAGGTGCTGCTTGTCAACAGGCAACTGCTTGGGGTTGCCTAGTTATTATAAAACATTATAAAACTACAACACCAAAAAACAACGAAGAAATCAAATCAGTTAAATAAAAACAGTGCTGGTACAATTTAAAAAATATGTTTGCTTCTCACCATGTTGAAACATGAATATAATCATAAAATGTTGGAATTTGTTAGGAGAAATTAGAAATCTACCTTAAAAAGTATATTTGATTACCTTGTTGGTAACATTGTTCTAAAATTTGGAGACTGAAGAGATACGAGTCTTTGTGCAGTTGAGCCAATTCGTCTGTAATATCCACACTTTGAGACGAAAGTGAACACTTAAAGTGTTTAGTAAAACAATGCGACTTAAACAAAATAACTTTGTACTAATTCACTACTCACTCCATATGCACAGAGTATGAGGAGCAAGTTTTGGTAGGCTACTCTATTATTTAATATTTCAGGGAAAGGGTATGGACAATTATCCCCTATCAAATAATACTCACAGTACAGAATAACTTTAAAACAAAATACTTGTTTAATTTGTTCTGTATACAAGAAGCATATTTGGATACTATATAATACTGGATACTGGATATTGGATACTATATATGATGTACGTCGCTTTGGATAAAAGCGTCTGCTAAGTGAATTGTAGAATTGTAAAATATAATAATAATAATCTACACTTTTGTCAATAGCTGATCTATTTTTTTATTTTTTAAATCTATTTTTTAGTATCTATTTTTTTTGTACATTCTTAATTTTTCTTTTTTTTCTTTAAGTTGTACTGTGTTCACTTTTTTGTCTGCAATTTTTGCTCTTTGCTGCTGTAACACTGTAAATTTCCCCATTGTGGGATAAATAAAGGATTATCTTATCTTATTTTATCTTATAAACCTGTATTTAAGATTTTAAAGGAAGCATTTCAATATAGCCGAGACAAAAAGCACCTATCAAACAGTACGCTCCATACTACACAGAGCTGCATGGTAGCATATATCAATAGGTGGCACTGTTTGGCAGAACACCTGTAATTGAATTGATTGGACTTGTAAAGATAAAGATAAAAAGATAAAGATAAAGATAAAGATAAAGATAAAGATAAAGATAAAGATAAAGATAAAGATAAAGATAAAGATAAAGATAACAAGAAAACAGGGGACGGGAAATAATTATTAAAAATAAAAATAGAAGTTAAAAATCAAATCAAACATATTTACATCAGTTAAATAAATAAAAATACAATAATGGAAAAATTACCGAGGAGGTATGCAGTCTTGATTATGCTACCAGATCTTTCTCTCCACTTTTTCTTCTCTCCACTAGATGTCAGTGTTTCCTTATATTTTTTACATAAGGAACATCGGGCGTCAGAATGAATTCAGTGCATTGTGTGTAATATTTTAAGAGTACATATTAACAAGTATTTTACACAGAAGGTAAAAAAAAGAAAAGAATTAAAAGCCGAAGACGAATTTATATACATATAACAAAAGATTAAACTCCTGCATTTGCGGCGTCTAAAAAAAAAAAAAAAAAAAAAAAAAAAAATTGTCTTCAGGCTTTATTGAGGGCAGCCAAGTTTTCCGGAAGAGCAACTGGTGCGAGTTTAATGGACAAGGAAGAGATATTTGTTTAGGTTTAGTCAGGAAAACATACATTCTTTTTGTTGTTTCTTCAGATTGTCTTGCTCTTTTTTAATTCGTTAGCATGCCTTTGTTTGCCCAAAATCCATTTGACCAAGATGTTGGTGAGTGAAGTGCTTTTTATTTGGTGTTTTTCAGTGAGTCAGTTAACGATAGGGCCAACAACACTTGAAGCTAACGCTAGCTTAGCTTGACTTCTTCGGTTCGTTGTGGCATTTTAAGTTTAGCTGCCGGTGTCGACAACAACAACAACAACAACAACAACCTCAACAACCTCAACAACCTCAAGTCGCTGTTACTTTGTCGGCCTGTCTGGTTGTCATTAACTTCAGTTCAGATAGTCAGCCAGCTCATTTTCAGTCTGTTATTCATGTTTATTATCATCATAAAAGAATTGTGTAGATATCTGATTTTTAGTCAACATTAACGGTGTTTGTTGTGTTTTATTACTGCTGTAGTTCAGTCAACATTAACGGTGTTTGTTGTGTTTTATTACTGCTGTAGTTCAGTCAACATTAACGGTGTTTGTTGTGTTTTATTACTGCTGTAGTTCAGTCAACATTAACGGTGTTTGTTGTGTTTTATTACTGCTGTAGTTCAGTCAACATCTAAAGGTGTTTGTTGTGTTTTATTACTGCTGTAGTTCAGTCAACATTAACGGTGTTTGTTGTGTTTTATTACTGCTGTAGTTCAGTCAACATCTAAAGGTGTTTGTTGTGTTTTATTACTGCTGTAGTTCAGTCAACATCTAAAGGTGTTTGTTGTGTTTTATTACTGCTGTAGTTCAGTCAACATCTAAAGGTGTTGGGCCAGGCATATTGATTTATTTATTACTTTTAATGCCCAGTGTAACCCAAAGTGTTTCACAGAAACAAAGAGAATTATAATAAGAATAATCTATGATAATAATGAGCTTTATTGATATTCCAAACCAAAGTTACCAAGTGCACACACAAACAAACAAACAAACAAACAAACAAACAAACAAAAACACACAAGAAATAAACATGTTAAAACAGTACAACAAAGTAGGGCTGGGCGATATGGACCGAAACTCATATCTCGATATTGTTTAGCTGAATGGCGATACTATCGATATGTATTTTATTAACAGTGAAAACATATGGAAAAATAAACTACCTGTTTGTGAATTTAATATTATAAAATAAAAATGTTCCTTAACTACAATAAAATAGAGAAAGAGAGAAGAGGAGCAGGGTAAAGAGGCACAGAGAGTCATCATCAGTGAGATGAGAAAAAGAATAGAATAGATTTACTTTATTGATCCCAAACTGGGAAATTGTGGCGTTACAGCAGCAGGTTGTCCAAACACACAATATGAGTAAAAAAACACAATGTTAGCAAATCTAAACACAATATAATATTAAATACAAAGTAAATAAGTACTAAAAGATATCAAAAATAAGAATGTGAATATATACAACCAGGATTTCACTAAGCATTACTAGTCTTAAATAGGAAGATTAAATGTAAATGTGCAAAAACAGAGTCGTAAATGGTAGTAAATTAAATATGAAAGGTTAAATGTAAATGTGCAAAAACAGAGTCGTAAATAGATAGTATTGACATAAGTTAAAGTGCATGAGTGTAGACATATCATAAGCAGAAACTATACAATATAACGGCGAGTAGACAGCCATAAAGGTGACCTGGCACCTCTATAACGTTATTTTAATGCAACATAAACTATATCCATATTAACGATATTGTCTTACCCTAGATCTTGTTGGAAAATATATCGATATATCTTAAAAACTCGATATATTGCCCAGCCCTACAACAAAGTATACATTTTTCATTAAGGATAACATTTAATGTGAAAGAATATTCAATAAAAAGTCATTTAGTAGATTTAGAAATAGTAAGCAGTGTTTCTAATCTTCGCTCCTCAGGCAATTTGTCCCAAAATTGAGAAGCATAGTCGTTAAATGGGACTTCCCTATGTTTAGTTTTTAATCTTGGAACGGCCAATAATCCAGAACCAGCGGACCTAAGAGGTCTGGGAGGTTCATACTGGGTCAGAGGGTCTGATGGGTAACTTGGAATTCCTAATACCTATGATGACAAAACAGTTTCTAGTGTCTGTGTTGAAACGTCCACCTTTAGCTTTTTATGACTTGCATTTGTGTGACATGGTATAAAACCAAACATTTCAATGGGCCGAATTAAACGATTAAGCTTTTGGCTGCATCGAGTCAGTTAATTATGAAGCCTAAGCTTATTTATTTGTGTTGTAAAAATGCTTTCCAAATAGTTGCGTTATCCAAATTTCATGCAAACTTCCCCGGTCATGTTACTTATCAGTCCCTGCAACACCACGGTTCTCGTTCTATCAGACAATGGTGCGCTGTCTCACTTAACTGGCTCACTTAACTGAGTGGTGTAGTCAAGATGATGGCAATGACTGGTTTCAGGATTTTAATAGAAAATTGGCACATAAGTGAATTCCTCTTTGTATGACAATGCTGGAGTTTGTAAAGTCTCCTGACAAAAAAAACAAACAAACATTTTAACAAAATGTCCAAAAAACAAAACTCGTAACATTAATGGAAAAGTGCAGATTTTCTTTGTCACACAGCAGATCTTATGAGTGTGGCCATTGTTCAGGCTGTCTCCTGCTAATCTGATCACAAGTTAAAATGTTTCAAGACCCACTTAACACATTAAATGTGAAATTTAGTTGGCTCAACCCAACATTGCTCCGCTCTAAAAATGTGGCAGCTCAACATTGCTATTCATTGCTATAACATTTACCCGCTGTGGCTGGCAGGCCTGCCTAACATAATATTATGTCTAAAGATAAGAAACCGTGATTCCAGTAAAGATATATCCTCATATGCACTGTTTCCTTGTTTGACAAATTTACAGAAAAGGCAACCAATGAAAACAACACCACAGATGACTGGGGGCTCATTATGGACATCTGTGATAAGATTGGAACGACGACCAATGGGTAAGCTGGAGAAAAGGCATTTCACTCAAAGCATCTAGAGCTGAATAGGATATGAGCAGCAACGATAACTAGGTTACTTTTTAAAGGAAGTACATTTGTATAAGATCTCCATCCATCCATCCATTATCTACACCACTTTCCCGTTCTGGTCGCGGGGCTGCAGCCGATCCCAGCTGTCAGTGGGCGAGAGGCGGGGTAACACCCTGGACTGTTCACCTGTCAATCACAACGCTGTATGAGACCTTCAGTGTGAAAACAATCAGGGCCCGCACACAGGATCATCTCTGCTGTAAGGAGTGTGTTATAAAGTCAGTTATTTTACGAGCATGAGCAATCATTTGTGTTCTGTTCACTTCTCTTTCAGACCAAAGGACGGCTTGAGATCAATTATGAAGAGAGTGAACCACAAAGTGCCTCATGTCGCCATGCAGGCGCTCAATGTAAGTCTGCTACTTTATCGCCACTGTAATATTTCCATATCCTCGACACAGCCTGCGTCAATAAAGGTAGACATTTTAGTTCTCTGCTTGATGCAAGCTTCCAATTCTATATCAAAAAACTTTCTCAAATGTAAGAAAGAAAACATACCAATTTAGAATAACCAGAAACTTAGATTGGTCAAAAACATCCTTGACCAATCTAAGTTTCTGGTTATTCTAAATTGGTATGTTTTCTTTCTTACATTTGAGAAAGTTTTTGATATAGAATTGGAAGCTTGCAACGTCCTCCAAAGCTTAAAGAAGATTTACCCAATATAAATTATTATATGCCTCACAGAATTGAAGAAAGTTAAAACAAGCTTGTCATTAAAAAACAAGTTGATTTCAAAGAGCTTTAGAAAACAAACATTCAAAAAAATCATTACATGAAGATGGTAGAAACTCTGAAATATCTCTCTGTCAGGCCAACACTTGTGTTCAAGACAGTCGTGTTGCTGAAAATGTTGAAAGAAGCTTCAGTAGCACGCTGTATTTATCTTCATCTGTCTGAACAAGATGTTCAACATAAAATAGATTTTAAATCCCCAGTTTTTGAGAAACCGTTTTTAAACACACAAAGACAGAAAGAAAGTGAAATACATTTGAGGAGTTTGAAACACTTCTGCCCCATGGCGTAAGAAATGCTGCTGCCGTTGGGCTGTAATTCCTCTAATACTCCAATAGTGACGCCACAAAGTCAAGTGGAAGATTTGTAACGGGGAGGATTTCAGTCAGATGAGTAATGTGAGAGCTGATTCTGCCTCTGTCTGAGTCATCATGAGCAAGTGTCACATGCTCTGTATTTACATCTCAGGTTACATTCACTCACATGATTCAAGCCCTTTTGTCATGAGAAAAGTTTAAAACTTCTACTAATTCATACTTTTATTATCCGGTTATGTCAGCAGTAAAGATCCCTTTAGGTTGGTTATACATTTTAAAAACATGTCTTTCTTTACAATAATACTAAAAATTCCTAATGTGTAATTTTGTTTTTAATTTTCCACTCTTTCTCTTGTAGTTGCTCAGTGCTTGTGTGTCAAACTGTGGCAAATATTCCATTTGGAAATCTGCTCAAGAGAGTTTGCAAGTGAAGTACGGAGTGTGCTGAGCCGGGTATGTACACATGTCTTGTTTGTTTTGCTGGTAAACTTGTCAGTTTTGTTTGATTTGAATAACTCTTTATGTCTGTCATCTCTTTGTACACTCGTGACCGTGTTGTTCTCACAGACGTGCTCACCTACTCATCTTTCCTGAATGCGTTACTTACACATAAACTCAACTTTGTGGCATCACCGGTGATTGTTTGCCTGTCGTCTGTAGGCTCACTCCAGGGTGTGTGAAAAGCTCAAGGCTCTGATGGTGGAGTGGGCAGAGGACTTCCAGAAAGATCCACAACTCAGCCTGATCGGTGCAACCATCAAGTCTCTGAAGAGGAGGGCATCAGCTTCCCTCCCGTCCTCACAGGTATGATGACATTCAAACACATTGTGAAAGTGAGAGTTTCACAACGAATACAAAGAAAGGGGAAAGTCAAAGGCTGGCGTGCCTTCAGTCAATCTGTAGGGACATCCCTGATGTGTCATTCCAGTACAAAACAATTTAGCATTCACTCTAAACCTTCATCCACCCTGATTTCAATGGAGAAGACGTATTCTCTCATTTCGACACATAACAGGAAATGAGAGAATAACAGGAACTACAAGATGGTCTTACTTAAACGGGTGTTGCAGACAATTTACACATTATTTTGTTTCATCCAGTTGAATTATATTTACTTCTCTCCTCGTGATGGAAACTGACTTGACTGACCACATGCGTCATGTTAAAGCATCTCTATGACACTCCTTTTGTTTCTGGTTTCCTCCCCTAAATACAGCTTCAGACACAATACCAAACAAGCGTGTGTGTGTTTGGGGCTGTGTGTGCTTTGTGTCCAGCCTGAGGCTGTTTTAACAGCTGTGGGTTCCTGCAGACCGATGTGTTACCAGTGTGGAGGTTCAGGTTGGGCGGGGTTGTCTGTCTGTCTATGTTATATGGTAGCAGCTTACAGTGGAATTTCCTCTTCACATATTTCCCATAATGCTGTGGATGTGTCCCAGGATCAGGACTCTGAGGACTGGTTTATTATCATTGTGGACAGAGCTGTGTGTTTTTTCTGTTGGTGTCTGTGTGATTTGTTATGTAGCAGCATTATGTGTGTCAAGAGTTGATGTGGACTCTGCTCTCAGCTGACCTACATCTGAATCCTCAGCATCATAACAGTAACATCATTAAAATAGTCTATTCCCTACACACTTAAGAATATAAATAAACATCCCTGCAGCTATCATCTGAAGTATCTGGGATTTCATTTCCTGTTCATCCTCACTTTTCTGCCACTGAGCTGAGCTCCATGCCGCTTTGAAGATGTGCTGCATATTATGGGATGTTAACGGAGAGCAGGTGGCACATGAGGCTGCAGGAACGACATTTAATCTCGATCAGCTGATGAGCAAACAGCAGCAGCAGGTAGAGTGACTCAAGCTGTTGCAAAGCTTCCAAGTGTTTATCTTTGACTGTCATTCATGCTGAACTTTAATGTCATCTTTAGACAGCATGCAGGTCGTTTTGTTGCCCCGCCACTCATGATGAAGCACGTAAAACAAACAAAGTGTTCCAGTCCCTGTTGTGTACCTCTGTTGTTGTTACACATTGTTTACTTAACCACAGGCTGCTGCTTTATGGCGGCACGAGCAAAATGTGAAAACTCTCTACCCATCTGACACAAATTAGTACTCAGCTGGAGGCTTCCATTTGTGCCTGTGATCTCATATTATCTTTATTGACATTCTGTTGTGTTATGTGTAATTTTTAAGTTTATTTCATTTTACAAACGCATCTAAAGTTAGGAAAAAGACACAAAGATGGTTGTTCTTCGTCTGAATTCTAGAAGAGGAAGAAGAAGAAATTCAATTTTATACTCTGTTGTTGAACATGCTACACACACAGGCTGAAATACACGCACATGCACAAACAGGATCCTACGGACATGCACTAATGGAGAGATGTCAGAGGAGGGGCTGCACACAGCTAGCGCTCCTGAGCCGGTGGGGCGGGGGTTCAGTGGCTTACTCAAGGGGCACCACCTCGGCAGTTCTCAGGAAGTGAACTGGCACCTCTCAGCTACCAGACCAATGTCCAGATTTGGTCCAACCAAGTCCCTACTTGGAGAGCTAGAGCTACTGCCGAATTCAACCCAAGTATGTCACGGGCTCATGGAATAGGGGTAGAAGTACAACCTGATGTTATGTGAAAGTGTGAATAGTTCAGGGCTTTTAAAGATTTATTTTTGGGCTTTTTGGCCTTTATTGTAGAGATAGGACAGTGGATAGAGTCTGAGATTGGGGATTGACAGGCGGGAAATGAGCCACAAGCTGGATTCGAACCTGGGCTGCCGCGTTGGAAGATACATACATGGGGCGCGCGCACTAAGCACAGCGCCACCAGGCCCTACTTCAGGGCTTTTTAATGCTATAATTTTTACAAGTGGCATTAGAGCATTTGCATTCTCCACTGAATTTTCAGTCAGATATATTTACAGTTCTGAAATCACAGTTTTGACAAGTTGAAAGTCTGGTTGGAGAATCATCGTAGTACCTTGTTTGTTCACCAAAGGCATAATGCATATTTTAGTAATAAAAAGTATCTTATTATGCACCATGTAAACTATTAACCTGAAGTTCACTATTCTGTTCATGTAGTCATTTCTCAGCTACAAAACCAAAAGCATTTCATCCAACACTGACTCAGTGTCAACATCAACATTATAAAGCTCTTAGTTAGTTCAGCCTGTAAATGCTCCTCAGTGTTCACTTTTGTGTTGTTCATTTGCCCCTGTAAACATTTACCTGCAAGTTAACCAGCTGTACACATGTTTGTGTGAAGACTTGTTATGCAGTACTGACACCAACCTCCAGTTGACCGTTTTATCCACTCTGACCTGGTTGTCAGGTCAGAAGGCTGCCTTAGGTCGTCTTGGATGAAGATAACGAGACAGCTGTGAGGAGGGTTTCTGTACCAGAGTCATATCTCTCAATAACAGTTAATACCCAGATGAACAGCAGGTGGCATTACAGTCACTGGAAATCTGTTTT